CCTGCCCTCCCTCTCCCCTCCTGGACTTGGACTATCTCTGCCTTCCCTACCCATCCCTGTCTGGACCACCTCTGCCCTCTCTTGCCCTCAGGTCTGTTCCTGCTTCTTCTTTCTGGCCCCCACTGACAAGCCTGTATCCCGGCCCCTATGCTGACCACCCAGGAGAGCAGCCTGTCCAGACCCCTTGCCTTGATTCCGCTCTCTAAAGTTGGTAGCCTCAGGGATAATCCAGCAACCTCTCTGAGCCTCAGATTTTCCCACTGAAAATGGTAAGATGAGCCCAGATGCAAGGCTGCAAGGTTGCCTTGTGTGGCAGAGGTTGTCCTGGGCCTGGAGGATTCTGGAAGAGTCGACTCTGGTGCTTGCAGAATCTCCCCCACTCAGAAAGTCAGCGAGCTAACCCATCTGGCCTCCCCACTCTCTCTGCAGACCAAGCTGACCCCAACTCAGGGTAAAGCCCGGACCGATGTGCGAGCAGACGCCAGGTGGCCTTTGTCCCCACCACTTCCTGCAGCCTGCTGAGGCCTCATCCCTCTCCTTACCTGGCAAGGCCTAACTGTGGGGCTGGGAGGCCCTCTTCCCCAGCAGGACACAGGGTTCAGGCCAGGTGGGATCCTGGGGCAGTGCAAGGGCAGCTGCTGGGACTGGGAGGCAAGCCCAGGAGGGGTTGGGGGAACCACCAAAGGCTACGGGAAGAAGAGGACGGAAAGTAGATAATGGGGCATGTTTGCCTAACCTGGCCCGATGCAGGGGCGCTGGGGGGGACACCCCCTGTCTGCAGGAAGAGAAAGATCAGGCAAAGCCACCTCAGTCCCCAGGCCCTCTGGACCCCAGGCGCCCGGGTAGGGGGTTCCTGCTGGCACCAGAGTCTTAACCTCCCCCCACCAACCCACACACTCCCAGCCGAGCTTTCAGCCCATGTTCTGTCAAATCCAAACTGCTCCTGGCCTGCATCCTGCCAGACCTGTCCCGGACCTCTCTCGCTATCCCTCAGTCCCTCCCTCGGGAGCCCCTTCTGTCCCCGACTGCTGCCCTCCTTTGCGCCCAGCTCAGCGCTGCTGGTGACCGGCCGACCGGGCCTCCACCCTGTGCCCCGTGCTTGCCTCTCGCTCCCCGGCCACTGGCTGTCACGTGCTCAGGCTCATTGGATCTCAACCTGCCCGGGCAGTCTGGTGCTCATTTTATAAACGCCAGGGAGGGACACTTGGAGGTGACTGGCCCAGGGCCATGCTTGGGAGAAGCTGGGTCGAGGCTCACCCTCGGGCCGGAGTTCCTGTCTCTCATGGCCGCTGTGACCACCTGGCTGCGGTGACCTCACCCTCCCCTGTCGCCAGCTGGTCCACTCTCCAGGCACCTGCTTGCCCCCCACCAGATATGAGTGTGGAGGCAAGAAGGCAAAATCCCCACTGAAGTCCCAGAATCACAAATACAGATGCCAGGCCTCCACCCCAGACCTACAGAATCACAGTCTCGGGAAGGGGAAGCCTAAGTATCTTTCGGGTTCCCAAACACCTCAGAAAGTTTGAACATCCAGGCGCTACCCCTCAAACAGTTACCCTGAATCCCTCCTCCCAAGCTTCCATCTCCTCCCAGGACCTTCTCCTCACCCTCGTCTGCGACCACAGGGCGTGCACTCACCGACCCCACCTGACGGGGCTTCGGCCCCTCTCTATCCCTGGGACCTCGGGCACATCGATTTCTTTGGTCACTGATTCCATTCTTCACAGGGGCGGCCTTTAGTCCCCTGGGGTTTGGGCTACACCCACCTTTTTCCTTGCCCAGGGGCTCAACACTTATGTTGAAGGAAAGGCATCAGAAGGCCCGAGTGAGCTGCTTACCCTCTCTGAGCCTCAGTTTCCCCACTGGTAAAATGATGCTGTCATGAGGACTAAATGAAAGCCCTTTTAAATGTGTTTTTCTCACAAGGATTAGTAATATAATAATCAATGAAAAAGGAAGCGTACATGTTCCCGCTGAACAGGGCTTTGAGGCACTGGAGAAACCGCGTGGGCTGGTGGTGGCAGAGGGGGAGGAGCCAGAGAGGCAGGAGCCCCACCTGGGAGAAATCCCCGCCTTCCCAGCCCTGGTCCCCCAAGATGCGCCGAGCCTGCACTTTTCGGCAGGACAGCGGGAGTCCCAGATAGTGAGAACAGTTGGACCAACTTCCGATAATGGGATTTGACCTAAATGCTTGAGGACAGAGTGACTCCTGACAGGGTCATTAGTCTCTCTGGGGACAGACTCTGGGCAGCTGGGTCCCTCCAGGCATCCAGGAGGGGTGCTTTGGTGAGGCCAAGCCCACAGGCTGGAGTCTGGCTGGGGAGGACTTAAGACTCCTGCCACGTTGCCCCTCCCCCAACCCTGCACGGAGTCTGACAGGTAACCCCAAATGCCCTGGCTCCTGTTCCTGACACCCAGCCCTCCTGCCACACCTGGCCCCGGACACTCAGGAGGCCAGAAGTTGAACATCTGCTCCTGCCGGATCCCAGGCAGGACACCTGACACCCATCATCTCCTCTAATCCTCACAGCAGCCTGGGCGAAGTAGAGACTACTGTTACCCCCATCTCATGGATGGGGAAGGTGGGGTTCGGAAGGCTTGCCCAGGCCACTCAGTCAGAAGCAGGGGAGCCAGGACCCACTGAGGCTGTCCCGCGCCAAAGCCACAGGTACAGCCTTTCGAATGGAAGCTGAGCTTCCTGCAGGAACTCTCCCTCTGCCCAACCTCACGGCAGGGCTCGTTCAGGGCCCACCTGGAGCAAGCTGGGCCCAGCACAAATCCTTCCAGCCACCAGCCCCCTCCCAGGAACCCCCTCCTGCCTCTGATCCCAGGTCAGAGCTGTGACCTTGGCCCAGGTCAGGTACTAGGGCTCCAGGCACAGGCCCTGTGGCTTCCTGCCCGTGACTGCCATCTTGCAAGGGGCTGAGGACTGAGCCTTGCCTAACTGCCCCCCACTCCTCCTCAGCAAGAAAACGCAGACACCACAGCACACGTCCTCGTTTAAGGGCTTTCAGGTGGCAAATGCTGGTCTGGGCAGCTCTCACAGGAGCTCAACCCAGTGACTGAGGTCCCCTCTGCCAGCTGACTCCTGGGCCTGGGACCCTCCACGCCCCTGTTCACTAACTCACATCCTGCCCTCTCCGTGGTTCCGAAGGAGGCTGGGTTTTTCAGGGGGCGGCACAACCTGCACAGCCGCTTCGTGTGGATTAGAAAAAGGGTCCCTTCAGAACACAGGCAGCCTCACGAGTCCTCCGATTCATTCAGCCCACTGGCCCGGGCACCCTTGTGCAGTGAACAACCAGCCCAACTGTACACTGAGGCCCTGCTTGTTCTTCCGCCTCACACCCAGCTGCAGGCTCCCTGTGATCCCAGATTTCTACACTTCCAGAAGCTCCCCGACCTCTTGGCCTCAGGCCTAGCCTGTTTCCAAACTGGACAGAAGTGAGATGTTGAGAGCCGTGGCAAGGAGGGTAGAGTCCCCTGGGCCTTTCTTTGCTGTACCCTTGAGCGAGGGGCCGGCGGCATGCACTGGCTAAGAGGGCTGCCCTGAAAATCAAGCTTGACCATGCTGCTTAAGTGCTGAGTGACCTGGGGTAGTTACTTCACCTCTCTGTGCCTGTTTCCCCATCTGTGAAATGGGAATAATAATAGCCCCACCTCCTGGAGTTGTGATGTGGATGAAATAAATTAATAACATAGAAAGGTAGAACAGTGCCTGTCCCATTGAGGGCCCAGTAAATTGTAATTTCTCTAGCTTCAAACTCCTTCCTGGACTGCTTCGCTCTCCCTGGTCCCCCCTCACAAAAGCCAGGAGTCTTTCCCTATCACTACCTCCTGGCAGTGGGTGGGTCTGAGATCAATGTTCTCATCATCCTGATTTGAGGGATCTGGGCTCAGAAAGGTGCTGGCCCAAGGCCAGAGCAGGTGAGCACCCTGGTTCCCACCATCCCAGCCCTGCCGGCCCGCACGTGCCCCCAAACTTGTCACATGACCCACAGCAGATGGAGATCTTGCTGCTGACCCAAGACCTTGTTTGGCTTGAGATCCCAAATGGGTGCAAGAACTTCAGACAAAACCACACAGCAGCAGGGTGGGACGCTTCCTGTTGGGACACTGGGCTCAATGCTGCACGGGCTCCACCATCGGCCCCTGAGGTTCTGAGGCCAGAAGTGCTCCAGGGAGAAATGCCAAGTGGGAGCTAGAGGGGCCTCCTTCCGGTCAGGTGGGAATATTCTGGACATGTCTTTCTGTCTCCCTTGGCCTTCCTCCACCTTGTGCTGGGCTGGGGTGGGGAGGGAGGTTGGGAAATGCCCCCCCACCCCCACCCCCATGCCAAAACCCAGAGAGTGCCTGGAGGCAGAACGGCACTGTGGGAAGAGCCCTGCTCTTGGAGAACATCACCCCACTGATTAAGATCTCATTGACTTTGGGCAAGTTACTTAATCTCTCTGAGCTGCAGTTTGCTCATCTGCAAAATGGGCAGACAAAAGTTACCCGCCTTACGGAGCTGTAAGAATTCCACCCCAGGGGAAAATGGGGTACAGACAAGTCAGGACAATGAGTGAGCCTCATTGGGAGGCTGCAGGGAGGTCCCAGGGAAGGCTCAGTCCCAGAGAGATCCCCACTGGAAGCGACCCTGACCACTGCCCCACAGCTCCACAGAAGCTCCACTCCCACCCTCCAGACACCCGGTTGGGCTTATTCAGACTTGGTCACTCACACACTGTAACACATGCACACATGCCACCCACTCACCCAGCAGAGAGACACCCAGAGAGGCTCCCCCATCCTCTGCATACTCAACCCATCCAGTCCAAGCGCACCCATCCCCGTCTCCCCACCATCACAGGTACCACCATACCTCAGCCTCCTGCCCCCACTCTTTCTCTTCAGGAAGGACTAAGCCGAAGGAGCACCCACTCTTCATCCTTCCCTGGCCCCCCGGCTTTCCCTCATCCCTGTCCTCTGACCCCACTGTGGTACCACCCCATCCTCCAATCTGGATATCCCCTAAGACACCAGTCAGACTCCCAGCAGCCAGGAACGGCAGCCAACTCCCAGCCAACACAGGCTTGGGGTGCACGGTTCACAGGTAGGGGGCCACCAAGGAAGAAAGTCAGACCAAGGGCCAAACCCAGCAAGGACACCCTATCCCTGGCCCTGGGACCATGCCTACTGCCCATCTACCACCTGCCAGGGAGCCTGGGCAGGCCCCAAAGGCAGCCTCCACCGCCTTCCCCTCCCTCCCAGCCCACCTCCCCCCACCCCTCCCCATCTTCACCAGGCCTGCCCGCTCAGGACCATTAACCACCCCTCCCCCACCCCACACTGCCCTGAGTGATGGTCCATCTATTATGCATGCCGCCTTCCTGCTCTATTCCATTTCCCCGAGTACCCCCCCCCCCCCCGCCCCCCCCCCCCCCGGCAACGCCACAGCCCCCTCCCCCCCCCCTAAGGGCTTTTAACCAAGTACATTAGGCAGGGCCAGAAGCCAGTCTGACAGATGTCCGCAATGTTAGCCTCCGTTTCCCTGCTTCCTCCCTCTGCCCAGCCCAATTTACCTCCCACCACTCCCAGCTGCCAAAACTTCCCAGACCTTGATTGTACTCCTCTGAGTCTCTCTCCTCCTCCTATTTCTGCCAGGCCTTTGCTGTCCTGCCCTCGCCGACCCCTTGGCCTGGCTAACTTTCAGCTTCGAGCTCCTGGAGAGCCTAGGCATGCTGAATGAATATTCCATCTGGGTGATTATTATTCACATGACATTAATTAATTATTAATTGCAATTAATCTCCTTCATTCCCAACCTTCCTCAGGGAGGCAGGAGGGGCCTGGCAGCTGAAAGGGACAGCAGGTGAGTGGAGTGGGCATTTGTGAGTGAGCTTGGGGCCTTGAACATTTTCCCAAGGCCCACCCACAGCGAGAACGGAAAGGAGAACAACCATTCGATCAGGGCACAGGGGGAAACTGAGGCAGAAGCAAGCACTCAGCTGGTCCCCAAAAAAGCCCACTGAGGGTGGCTGTGGCGGGCACCCAGCAGCCCTAACCCCTGACTGGCCTCTTAGCTGCTTCTTCCTGCCTCTCACTGCCCTCCCCAAGCCCCATCTGGTGTAGGACGGCTTGCTTTGGCAGGAGAGGGGGCTGGCGGAAAGCTGACCAAGGCTGGACCGAGCCCTGGGCCTTCTAGGTCCGCGGAGGGCAGGGGATCCCCACCCTGATGGGAGGGGGCCTGGAGAGGGGCAGGTGTGTGCTCCCACTAGCGGGCTCCAGCACCCCCTCGGTAGCCCATTGTACAGAAGGGGAAGCTGCAGGAGCCGGCTGCTGGGGAGGCAGGCGCCCAAGCCCTGGCTGCCCCGTGGTCTCCCCTGGGCTCTAAGGCCTGCTCCAGCCCCCTGGCCTCACTGCCGGCCCCACTCACCGGGCCACCGGGAGGCTCCTGGCGGACCCTGGTGTCCAACTGCTGCTTTCGGACCTCTCCCCCGGAGCTCTCCCCAACCAGACGGCTGGGCTCTGTGACCTCCGGGGCTTCCAGGCCCCCCAACGGGGGAGAGACCCTCCAGCGCAGAGCTCCGGCGGGACCCCGGGTCCCCACACCTGGGGAGAAAAGGGCATAGCTGCAGACAGATGCCCACCATGGGGCAAGAGACGGGAATGGGGTGGGTACGGCAGCCCATCCCCCACTCTGATGTGGCCCCTGGAACCCTGAGGGGATCTGGGTGGGAGGATCTGCTGCCCTGCCGAGGCAAGAACCCGATGGGGAGGGGGCCAGGAGCTGCACTCCAGCCCGACCGTCACGACTGCCCCCCCACCAAAGCCTCACAGACCTGCAGAGTCCGCCGGCCGGCGGCAGGGGGCTGGCCGCAGTGGGGGGCAGATGTGGACAGGTGGGTGCACGCACCCTCCCTCTCCCCCCCACGCCCTCCCGCGCTCTGGACCTGCTGTCACCCCGAGCACTGCAGGAAAATGTGGCTGCAGCAGAAACCGCCGCAAAACCCGGGGCGGGGGCAGGGAGGGGGCGCCGAGGCCGGGCCGGGCGGGGGTCACTCACCGGGCGAGGGGAGCAGCGGCAGCAGCAGCAGCAGCAGCGCCGCGAACGCCCAGCGCCGCAGCCGCCTCATGGCTCGCTCATAATCCTCCGGGTCCGGGGGCTGCGGCGGCGAGCTGCGCGGCGCGGGCGGGAGGAAGGGCGGGCGGGGAGGCGCGGGCTGCGGGAGCCGCGGGCGGGGGCGCCGGGCAGTCGGGAGAGGGGCGGGAGCGGTGCGCGGGCCGGCGGCTGCGGCGACGGCGGCAGGGAGGACGCCCGGCTCAGCGCGCTCCGGACGCGGCCATCCCGGCGGGGCTGCGGGCCGGGTTAAGAGCCGAGCGGCGAGCACGTGAGCCGAGGGCCCGCCCCCGCCCCCCGCGGCCCCCCACCCCCACCCGCAGCTAGGCCGGGCCGGGGCCGCCGCGACGGGAGGACAAAAGAGGCGCCGCCCGGGACCAGCCTTCCCGCCCCTCCTCGGCCCCCTCGGCAGGTGCAGGGCTGGGCGCACGCGGTTTCCACCTCGCGATCCCCTCCTCGGCTGCCCTTGCTTGGGGAGCTCCGAGGACCCGTCGATTCATAGGGGGAGGGAGGCAGGGTACAGAGGGACCCCCGGGCTCTGATCTGGTGACGGCTCTTCTGGGGACCCGCGCGATCGAGGTGCGGGGGCGTGGCTGCCCCGCCTGGGGTCACCCCTCTGGCTTCGTACCCGGGAGAGGGCTTCCCTGGACCCAGCCCCCAGAGCCCTGCTCCACTGAAGGCTATTGGAGCTGGGAAGGCTGAGGCCCCAGGGATGGAAACGAGGGGCAAGGGATCTTGCGGCCAACCCAACTCAGTGCCTCTGGGATCTCTCCCGGTGGAGTAGGGCACTGCTGGGTCCTCTCAAACTCTTGGGCCAGACCCCTTTCCATCCAGCAGCCTCCTTCTCTGGGTGAATGATGCCCTTGCCTCCAGGAGGGCTTCAGGCATTGCTGTCACCGGGGGGGTCCTCCCCTCACTGGGCTGAGTCCCTCACACAGGACACCTCAATTCTTTCCCCTTCCCCTAAATATATAAACTAGCCAGGTAATTTACATGAGGTTAGCATGTCCAATTTCTGTCCCTCCCTTGCCAGCCCACATCTTTGAGGAGCAGAAGATACCTCTGCAGCCCCAGCCTCCCCTCTCTCGCCAAACTAGGTTGCCCTGTCTATAGACCATCTGGCCTCCCAACCTACCTCCCCAGCTGTGCCCTCAGCTCAGCTCCCAGGTTCCTGGGCAAGGTGGGTGCCCACACTGGGGGCTTGGGATCTCTGACCCCTGCTAGGAATCCTAAGAGTCAGTGATGGGTTAGGGTGTGGTAAGACGCGTGAGCCCCGCTGGTGAGGCCTCACCCTGACTTTGTGCCCCAAGCCAGAGCATCCTCACACCCACACTGGGAGACCACAGATCACTGAGGAGCAGGAATGGAGGCAGGGATCCCCTTGCTGGGTCCTCTGCTTCCCCAGGGACCCAGGGCCTCTGCCAGGGAGGGAGCTGCCTCTGGCTCATGACAGGCCCCCCCAGCTCTATATTAGGCCCAGGAGAGGTGAGAAGGTGATTTCCCAGGAGGCGCTGACATCAATGCTGGGAACAGGGTGACTCCCCCTCCCCCCCATCCAACCACCTGCCATTCCAGACCCAGATGCTCAGCAAGTCTGAGTCAATTGTTCCTTCACCCTTGAGACATCTTGGAAACCTCCTCCAGGGTGTAGGGGCTCTGAGGAATTAGGACCTACTGTGTGATATTCCCTGGAAGCCCACAATTATCCAGGAGGGGGAGACTGTGTTTCTCATTTTACAGGTGGGGAAACTAAGGCTCTGAGAGGCTACACGAGCCTCCCAAAGTCAAACAGCTGGTTGGTGAGAGGTACATCCCATATTCCAGGGTCCCCCTCCTCCCTGGCCACCCCTATCCCCACCTTTGCCTTCTATCTGGGACCTAGAAGGGACTGGCCCATCTGGTCCATCTATCCCACCCTCTACCCCTTTGGTTGGCACCCCAGACACCACCAGGGTGAGTCTGTCCTACCTTACCCTCGCCATGTTACACGGCCTCCCAGGGTTTCATTTCACCATGGAGGGCTTTGGGCCTGTGGGAGTCTGGATCCCCTCCTGCAACATGCCCAAGACCACACAGAGACCCCAGTCTGTGGCCCGGGCCTCCTAGGCCGAAGCACATTCCTACAACTTCTGTGGCCCTGGTTCCTTGGTCTTCCTGGTGGGGAGATCTTGCTGGCCCTGAGCGACACGTCTCCCGTGGCTTTCTGGCCCAGCTCCCCTGGAGCTCAACTGTAGGGCCCACTGGCCTCCAACAGCCCCTTATCTCTCTGGGTTCCCAGCTTTGAGCACACCCGGCTGGACAGCTTGACCTTCCCTTGACCATACCCCACTCCCCACCCAAGTCCCCTCCTCCCCACCGTGTCCTCAGTGGCAGCTCTGCTACAAGCTGCACGCCACTCCCAAGCTTGCTTCAATTCCCTCACGCAACCTCCTGCCTGACGTCGGGGGTGGCGGCTGTAGACAGCTTCTGCTCAGCCTGGGACTTCACAAGAGTAGGGATTGCCGCCCCATCCTACTTGGCCCCTGATAGCAAGGATGGTTTTCTCCTTAGATGGAGGCCCCTGAGGGCAGGGCCTGTGTCTCCCCCTCAAACAGGGGTTGGTTTCCCTGAGGGAATGCTCACCCTAACCCCACAGCTATGGTGGGCTCCTTTGGACCCTCTGCCCATCACTTGTTTCCCCACGCAGAAGAAATCAGAGGTTGGTGGCCACTGCTGTCTTGATGCCATCCTCGGGCCACCCTCTGGGGAGATGTTAGGCTCTGGTCCCCACCCCCAGTCCTCTCTCAGGAGCCCCCCTACCATCAGGAGGCTGAGGGCCTCCTTCCCTGTACATTCTTCCTGCCCTTCAGCCAATTTTCCCCTCAAATTTTCCTGCACAGGGGCAAAGCTGGGCATATGTGGGACCAAGACCTAGTCCCAGCAGCAGCTGCAGGTAAGGGAGGGGTGTCTGCTGCCTCCGCCCTGGGGCGGCATGGTGGGCAGGGATTCCTGCCAACAGAGGCAGTCTAGGCCCCCTGCCTAGTCTGCGAGGCCTGCAGCAGAGACCACGCCAGGCAAGTGGGCAGGGTGGTGAGGTGAGTAAGAGTAGGACTCAGGGCTCCAGGCAACCCACTGGGGTCCCAATCCTGGTTAATCGCTGTGTGACCTTGAGCAAGTCCCGCAACCTCTCTGAGCCTCAGTTTCCTCATCTGTGAAATGGGGGTAAAAAGTCTTCCCCGCAGTGTTGCAGGGGAGATAAATGAGTGGACGAGCCTCAGGTGCTCAGAGCAGTACCTGGTGACAGAAGGGCTCACTCACCCTGGGCTCACACTGTTCATGTTGCCCTTACGGTGCCAAGGAGGAAACCAGTTCCTGGCTGTTGTCCAGGACCCAAAGGACTCCTTTATGGCTTGGGGGCCTCGGGGTCCTCTCTACCCAGCATGTGGGGAGACTGTGCCTAATGACATGATACTGAGGGGTGGGGGGTGGAACAAGAAGTTCGTTCTGCTTCCTCCCAGGTCCCACCCAGTGCCCTGTCCTTTCCACCAGGAGAGGACCGTTCTTGTCCGAATACCCTTCCGAGGGAAGCCTCAGCTCCTCCCTCTTGGTTGTCTGGGCGGCCCCCTCCTTTAATCTCTGAAGCTCTGAGGCCTCGCCTCAGGGAGGAGTTGGAGGTGCCTAGGGTGCCAGAATCCTGGGGACACCCACCCTTTGAGAGGTTCACAGTGCACAAATGCAGTCGTGCCCCTGGGGGGCCAACAGTACGCCCACCCCACTGCCCCTCCTGTCCCATGCAAGGGATCCTCCTGGAGTTCTGGGGAACCGGCTGTTAGAAAGTGGGGTGCCCAGGGATGGGGTGTCTCACAGAGCCCCTTAGCAGCTTCATCCACAAATTTACACTGGAGACAGGGCTATGGGTCAGAGAGCCATCATGAGGTGGGAGAGGAGTGAAATTCATCTCTGGTGAAATGTCTAGAAGGCAGGCCTTGCAGGTGTGTGTGTTGGTGGGAGGATGTAATAATAAGTTAGTTTGCTGAGTGTTTACAACGTGCCAAGCATCTCGCTGACATAAGATTTAATTCTTACTTCCTGGTGATGTGGCAATGACAATTACTTCCATTTTTCAGATTAAGAAAACTGACTTTCAGGAGTTTGCCCAAGGTCACAAAGTGGCAGGATCTGGATTTAAACTCAGGCCTGCGTGGCCTGAAAGCTACAGGGTTCGTGGAAAATATGGAAGCTGTGCCTTGAAGAGTGGGCATTCGGGCCATTCTGGAGGGTCATTCTAGGTCAGGGCCCAAGAGTGAGGACACGGGGCTGCATTGCCCGCGATGGTCTGGCTGGGTCTGAGATGGAGGGGGCGGAGAGGACAGGGAGGCAGGGTGGGTTAAGGGGAGCACTGCCAGCAGGGAGAGTGCACAGGAGGGCCCTGGGGCTGGCGGAGGAAACAGGAGAGACGTATGACGAAGTGGGCAGGGGATCCAGGCTCGGACCAGAGTCCCTCTGTGGTGGCAGCAGGACAGGAGGGACGCAGGGATTCCTAGGAGGTTATGGTATTTTATTATCGGAGGAAGGACCCTTGAAATCATCTCAAACAAGCCCCCTCACTTAAAGATCAAGGTCAAGCAGCACCTACCTGTCCTGGCTCGGACCTCAGACGTCCTGGGTTCCTCTCAACTTATATCCTGGAGGCCAGAACAGAGACATGGCTGTGGAGAGATGTTACCTTGGGGCTTGACCTGGCAGAGATGTGATGTCCAAGGTCACATGAAATTGTTGAAATGGGAGGGGAATTCCATACAGTTGGATGTGAGGTCCTGGGCAGATGGTGATGAGGGTATTAGGACCTGGTGCATCGGTTTTGGAGTGAGTAGCATGTGAGGCTATCAGAGGTCTCAGAAAGGGGCGGGGGAGCTCCCCACCCAGAGTGGCAGAGTCATGGGAAAGGCAGTGGGGGACAAGGCATGCCCATGTGTCACAAAAGGAAAGGGATGCACCCATCAGGGAGCTCAGAAGGAAGCTACTGTCTGGGCCCCAGGGAAGGGGAGAGGGCCTGGAGCAGAACGCTCATTAGGGCAAAGGAGTTTCTCT